AGACTACAAAGAGATACAAGAAGACTACAAAGAGGCTCAAAACAACCACATAAAGCATCTTAACAACCATAAAGTCTGTGTTTTGTCTCTACGCAGGTGAGGCCTTTTGTCCGTCTTGTCTTGTCTCACAACCCTCCCATGTGTGACTCATATTGTCGTCATTAGTTGTTACTTCAGCACTAATAACGCACACAAGGTGTTCAGGGTATGTGCGCCTCACGGACAAAACGTCCTGTTTGGCGACATAATAAGTGATCACCGTCACAACAATGCAGTCGCCTTCCTTCTGCTGCGTCTTTACATAATCTGGCTAATGTTTACTGTGTGTGAGTGTGTGTGTGTGCGTCTGTGTTGCACAATACTGTCCTGTGTGAGCACAGCGGGGGTCAACGACCTCGTGTTGTTGCCACCGAACTCTTGTTGAGTAACAAAATATTCTGTTTGTTCTCAGCATCAGGTACTCGTGCTGTTGGAGTGTTAGAGACACGCTTACCTGGAGTGTTTTTATTCAAAAAACAGTAGTACCACAGTGTACAAATACTCTGTTACAAGTTAAAGTCCTGCATTACTCCAGTACAAAAGTAGTGTTTCATCGAAATATACTTAAAAGTATTCCAAAAGTAAAAGTACTTACAATGTAAAATGGCTCATTTCAGAATAAGATAAGAAAAGAAAGAACATTGATCCCAAAGAATTATTTTTACAAGATTACAACAGAGGAAGAAAAAGCAATAAAAGTAGTAAAGATATGAACATTTCTAAACAATATAAATTGTATAAGGAGTAATACTAACACCAGGGCAGAATAGAGCAGCAATACAAGTACAATACATTCAGTAAACTAAAGTAATACTGTGCAGGATATTAAGAGCAAAACTACTAAAAAGTAATATTGTACATGGTGTAGATATTGTTTCCGCTGTTTTTATATATATATATATATATATATATATATATATATATTATATTTTAGATTCTAATTATTGAGATGCATTGATGTGAAGCTGGAGCTCATTTGAACTACTTTATAAACTGCTGGTAGTTTATTATATAATCATTTATTAGTTGATTCTATTTTATATTAATAATCTGAGTTTACTAAGTATTTTAAGTTATCGAATAAAGTAGCAGAAAATACTCAAATAAAGAACAAGTACTTTAAAATTGTACACAAGTGCAGTACTTAGTGACAGTTTCTCTGTTTGTTTTGCTCTGAACTTTCTCTAATTAGTATTTTAGTTTTATATTTCGTATGAATGTTTGTATTCTTATGACGTTGTCGTCAGTGTCTCCTTCCAGCTGTGGTGATGATCACACGTCAGCCGATCAGGACGGAAACATGTGGAGAGGAATGTGGGCGGGGCCTCGAGTAACACACTAACCTCTGTGGGGCGAGAGGTCACGGCTTACACACACACACACACACACACACACACACACACACACACACACACA